CGTTGAAAAATGTCTTTCATAAAATAAAAAATAACAAATAAATAAGTGTTATAAATATATTAAAAATATATATAATTTATAAGAAATATTAAAGATTAAAAAACTTTAATAACAATTAAATTAAATACAAGTAAACAATAAATGCTTTAAAATTCTTAACATAAAAAATACATAGGTAGCAATAGGGAATAAATAACGTAGTATATTTATGTAGAAAAAAATATTTATTTCATGTAATATATAACAGTCTTGTAATATATGAATCTTGTAATTCTCAAAAGTATATTATATGTTATATTAAAAACTATTACTATTTTGACACAGGAGTATTTTGTCCGTGTTTCACGTAGTATATTTATGTAGAAAAAAATATTTATTTCATGTAATATATAACAGTCTTGTAATATATGAATCTTGTAATTCTCAAAAGTATATTATATGTTATATTAAAAACTATTACTATTTTGACACAGGAGTATTTTGTCCGTGTTTCTGAATATCAAGTAGGTACAGACTTCTGTGTCAATTTGTTTTTGTACTTAAATGCATAATAAAAATATATTATTCCTTTAACGCATAATAAAATTATTTCTTTTATATTATTTCTTTAACGCATAGTAAAAATGTATTATTCCTTTAACGCACAATAAAAATAATTATTCCTTTAAATGCATAATGAAAATACATCATTTTTACTTAAATGTATGATACATGGCCAGATTTGCTGTCATAATATTTACGATTAGATACTGTTGAAAATCAGAAAGTCTTTATATATTTTAATTAATACAATAATCAATTAATAATATTTTCCCGACAATTTTGTACAAAGGAATTTTAATCAATCAATATCAATTTAACATATTATTGAAAGATACACAACATCACTTAAATTTCCTACCGTTAGATCATACTACATCAATACATCTCGTCCTTCACTCCTGCATTCAACGCACACGCGCTCTTATTAAACGCATCACCTTGCCAGCAACTACCAACTCTGATCCGTGTAGATATTAATATTATTATTCAATTACATAATGTTAATTAACAAAACATACAACGCATAAAATTGGTGAGCTCACCCGCACGCCGCTTACCGAGAGTCTAAGAAAAAACGAACGTTCTCTCTCAACAAAACAAAGACTTCTGAGGAAGAGTAACGAATTTTAAGAACTCCAATGTTTCCGATTTTCTCCTTCCTCAAAATGTCAACCTTAAACTAGTAAATAAAAAACAATACTAAACTCGAGCAGTATTACCAACCAACAGATACTGCTACATTTTTACGTTTTTTAAATTTTAATCTTAGCGTAGCAAATTTTTTATACAATTTTGTACGCAAATGGTGACAATTTGGAATGTGATCTGCTGGAATAGCATTAAATTTTTCAAACAAAAAGTTTTGTAAATTTACATTAGGCATCATGTGAAAGTAAAGGCTGTAAATGCTTTGTAATTTTAAAAAAACTTTAAATGTTGATATGTTAACAAAAAATAATGTATTTGCATTATAACATTTAAGTTTAAGCCAAATTAGTTTACAAAATGTAAATTTCAATGATTCTTTTGAACCAACAGATCGTATGCAATCAGAACATGTAAAAATGTATTTTTTACACAATAACCTGCGATATTATATAAGGAATTCATTTCCTTATTATTATATGTTATATTGTTTTTTTAGGCCCAAAAGAAGGAATGTAAAGTAGGAATTTAAAGTAGATGAAATAGATGTAGACTCAGATATTATATTATCTTTTGTACAATTTTTTGTTAAATATTCTAAAAAGCCCCCGGTAAGATATTCATTGTCATCATATTCATAATTTCCTGTTCTTATTTCTTTCATGTACATTGCTATAGTGATAAATTTTAAATTATTTTTTAATTGCAAACAATCCGGAATTACATTTTTGCGACGCAAAAATGAATGTAAGTTCTCTCTGCAATCTTGCGTGAACCGAGCAATAAGTACGAATTGAAAATTACGATCTTTTAAGAGATATTGTACAAGATCATGTCGTCACAATAATCGATGTCGTAGAAAGTATTATTCCTCTTTGTATAGGTTTAAATATATCTTTCTTACCGATTTTTATTTTTTCAAAAGGAGCAATTATTTCACGTAAAAAAGTAATACTCGAATCATATTTTTCTTTGTTTTTTAAACCTAAAGTTACACTACAGTTTCTCGAGGTCATTAATGAAAACCATTTTGATATATTTTTATCAAACCATGCAGTTGTCAAAAATTCCAGGTTACAATTTTCGTCCGATAAAAATTCTAATGATGAACTAACATCTGTTGAAAACACATTCTTTGCTTTATTTACCCTCATTTTACTGAAAATATTATAGCAGTATCTAATCGTAAATATAACTTTTATATATAATATCATTAATATTTAATTTAGGTGTTAAAAGGAAATCTAAATCTTCTTGAGATTAAATTAAATCAATAAAATGAGCAATTTCAACTTGGTTAGATGGTAAATTATATTTTATTACCAAATCTTGGGATAATGTAAAAAATTTGTTATTTATTAACAATTCTTTTAGGTTCTTCAACAAATGTGGTCCGCAATAAAATATAAGCGCCTGTTAGGATCAGACGGATGTAGTGTGTAATTTTTAAGTTCTGAATACCGTTCCACTTTTATTCCACAACATTTCCACAATTTCATATTTCCAGGACCCATGTCGGAGATTACAAAGGTGAAGATCAATTTTTTTAGCTTTGTCTATTATCTGGAAAATTAAATCTTTCAAAATTTCTCCATCAAACGAGTCACCTGTAAAGAAGTAACATACGACATGTTTCCATTTACTAGCTGTATCTGTAATTATAAATGTTAAAACATGTGTAGCAATATCTTTGTCATTAGGAAATGTTATGTTTCCAAGCATTGTTATGTTATGTTTCCGCACTCTTTATCAATATCCTCGAATGAAGAAGATTGAGTTTTAAATTTTAAAAACTAAACATCTAATTTGAAATACCACTTTTAAATTTAAATTTTTTTAATTTTTGTAAAGTGCGGAGGCTTGGAAATGGCATTCTTTGCTGAAGAAGTCCTTCGTAGCCAGCAGTGCCATAAGTTAATTTTAGTTTTAGAGCTCGTTGAATTATATCATTTGATCAACATTTTGCATTGCTTTTCTTTTGCAAGTAGAACCTGAATTTGATTATCAATAAATAGTTTCTTTAAAGCTACTTTATACTTATCGTTGTTAACTCTGTCTCGCAATAATCGATTTTTATATTTCATAATTTCAAATTTTTTGCGTAAGCGAATTAAACTGAGTTCTGTTCTATATTTTTTGTAAGTATGTGATTCATTGCCTGTCAATGTACTAGGTCCCATATTTTCATCTATAGTCATCTATAAATATAAATTAACTATAAATCAACATAATATAATAATCGTAAATAATTTAAATATAATTAATTGCTAATAAATAAATAAATCTAGACCGCTAAATAAATCAAATAATTTGAAAGAACCGAAAATGATCGACACTAGATTAACCGTCGGGAGCAAATCTGGATCTTACTTCGACATTATGGACATCATCTTTTTGTTGAACATTTTGTACATCAATTTTTTCAGATGTAGAGTCGAGATATTCAGTTATCATCTACAGTTAATGCATAATGTAATGTAATATTTGTAAATAAAAAAAGAATGAAATATAATTAATTTTTTATTAATTTTGCTATTTTATACTTACTATTACTTCTTTATCTTGAACATTTTTTTCAGATGTAAAGTAAGAAATTTCATTTGTTATATCTTCTATTATTTTTTCTTTTACATAATAATCAAAAATAGTTGGTATTGCATTTGGTTTAAAATTTTTTTTGTCAGTTCTGTACTCCCACATTTCAGGAGAAAAATGCACCTGTGTAATAAATAAAAATTAACAAAATAGTATTGAAATCACTATTTCTAACATATTATTTTTAACATAATATGCCAGTGTAAGAGCATAACAGTTTAAAGCTTGAAGAATTAATAAAGTTAAAATAAATATAATCTACCTCACACAGCCTACATTTACACAGCACCCTTAATCGGGTTTAACAACATCAATAGTTATGAAACTGGCCAATCACAGTCTTTCCATTCTTCCGAGGAATAGCTATGATTGGCCAATTTTATATTATGGATGTTATTAAACCCGATTAAGGGTGTGTCGTGTAAATGTAGTCATACATAACAATTATTTGTAGGTATTCAATGGCTGCGTTCAGCAGACTCAACAGTTTTGCAACCGTTTTATGATTGTCTGCTGAGATAGGACCATTCTTCTAGATCTAAAAGTATGATCCAATTAGCGCGAAGGAAACTTACAACAGTTGCAAAACAAACGTTCTGCTGAACGCACCCAATGACTGCGTTCAGTAGAACACAACAGTTGTGCAACCGTTTTATGATTGTCTGCTGAACGGTCCTAAACGCACCCAACGGCTGCGTTCAGCAGACTCAACAGTTTTGCAACCGTTTTATGATTGTCTGCTGAGATAGGACCATTCTTCTAGATCTAAAAGTATGATCCAATTAGCGCGAAGGAAACTTACAACAGTTGCAAAACAAACGTTCTGCTGAACGCACCCATTGTCTCAACATGTTTACTCAGCGATCGTCATGATTTCCAGTGAACTAAAAGTACGCTGAGTCGCGAGCAAAACATGTTGAGCAAAATGGCTGCCTCCAGTGTAGAAAACACCATGGAAAACAGCAAGTGTTTATTTGAAGCACAGTATGTGTACAAAAAAATGCTACATATAATATTGTTAATACTTGGGACATTCACCAGAAATTACAAAACGGTACGTATAAATATTAATACAAGAAAATTAAATCATATTTAATTATTTGTGTTTGCATTACGGTTACTACCTTACCCTAACCCTAACCTCTTTGGCTTTCAGTACAAGATTTCAGTTTTTTGAAAGAATCTTTAACTGTATCTTTTATAAGATAAACTCAAAAATTGAGAGTAAAAATAGCTGATGTTTTTTTCTGTTTGCTGCAACAATTCAAAAGTCAAAAATTTGCCCAAAAAGCCGGAATCTCCAACCGAAAACCGAAGAGCCGTGATTCACATATGTGTAGTTATTTCTGTGTATTTATATTTTATATATTTGTAAATTTATTGTTGTCTTGTTAAATTTATTTTCAGTTGATTAGTTCAATAAATATATTTTAAATGTATATAATTTTATTGTTGTGTTTAATTATGCTGATATAAACTTTATTTTTCTAGATGAAAGCTTTAAAAATAAATATTTTGAACAAAATTCTTCGTTTTAATAATAAAACGATAAAACGATAATAAAACGATAAAACGATAAACGATAAAACGCGATAATAAAACGATTTTTTAATAATTTATTAACATACGTTTTAATAAATATAACTGATTTGTAATATATATGCGCTTTTGTACAGCCTCTTGTACTTCTTCTTCTTCTTCTTCTTCTTGTTCTATTTCATGTAAATTTTGCTCTTCTAAATAATCTTCATCATCTATATTCAAATTATCACCATCTATTATAAAATTATGTAATGTACATGCAGCTGCAATCATTTTGTTTCCTAGATCAAAATCTGAGATGTCAAGGTATTTGAGTTTTCTAAATTTTCCTTTCAACAGCGCAAACGATCTTTCAATCCTTGAACGAATGCAACTTAATTTCGTATTATATCGTATTTGTGAGACTGTTAGATGACCATTGTCCTTATATGGTGTCATCAGATTCATCATCAGTGGATATGCTGAATCGCCTATCAAGTGCAGCTGTCATGGTATAAAACGTAACCTTACATTCGACATATTTTCAAATAATGGACTTTGTCTGAATACTCTTGCATCATGCATTCTACCTGGCAAATCAATAAAGCAATCTATAAATTTTCCCCTATGAT